AAATCCGAAAAAAAAACAATGTTATGCAGAAAAATAAATAGAACAACTTTTGCCTCAGGGTCACATCGAAATATCCTTACCAAATTTAAAATATAAAATAAAATTTTTAAAATAATTTATTTATTTTTGGTTTTTTGTTTTTTTTTTGGCCCGGCCGGGCAAGTGACCCCGGGCCACTCTCGTAGCCTAGCGTATTTGCCATTTGGGCAACTTTCAGGCGAGCCACAACGATAATGGCTAGGTACAATTCTATTCGCGTAAAGACGGTAGGCGCAAAGCAAACAGAGAGCAGCCTTACTGGCCATGTTTGCTGCTCTGATTCCCTATACGTGATGGTTCTTCCCATTTGATTAACCCTTCATAAAAGAGATCATGACAAGCAGCAGCATTCTTTAACAAACCGCATTTGACAGTACAAGATCTCCCCCTCGATGGTGACTCCGGCCTCGACATTATCATCCAAATCCGCTCTGATACTGGCTAGCTCAGGATGGCCAAAGGCTTCTGAGTCCTGACCATCTCGATGCGACTACTGTCCATGGGAACCTACAGGCACACATTGTCACATGGAACCTACACAAGAGTCTCCCTTCGATGGTGCCACTCATGTCACAACACTGGACAGATGTAAACCTGCACCATGTACACAGTCTCCCCCCCACTGTAACCCTGGCCTTGTCATTCTCATCCATCCACCCCTACTCTGCTATTCACAAGTCGAGGATGGGCAAGGACTCTGACCATCTGCCGAGCAAGACTCCGCCTAGGTACAGAGTCCGCCCCTCGTTGTGACTCAGGCCCTCACATAATCATCCAGTTGTGACTTTTGCTTATTGCCAAGTGCAGGATGAGCAAGGCTTCAGACAATCTTGCGGCAACTGTACTGACGAATCTACAAGACATCGTCCTGTCAACACAAGTAGTATTAACAGGGACCCCCACTTTTCAGCCCACAAGTCTGGCTTAAAAGGTGTGGGATGCTTGTTATAATGCCCCTGACAAAATCCTGAAAAATTTAGGGCTCTGTCTGTTAACCTCTTCTCCAGATCAAAGCCACCCACTCCCATGTTGGACATCCATCCACAAAGCTGGAGTGCAAGATTGCACCAAGGTAAATGATCCGTAAATCTCCCAATATATAGTCTCTCCTCTACAGGTGACCCTCCACAACATGACATCTACTTGCCACTAGAGACGTGTGGAAATCCGCACTCGGGATTCTGGTTCTTGAATTCATGACCCAGTTCTGAAGCATAACCGCAAACCAGAAACGTCCATCGCCAGTCGATCACAAGTTGGCTCAGAGAAGTCAGCTGGATTGGCATTCGGCAGTTCATCTTCTTCATTCATAACCCACTTAAGAAGGTTTACCACCGACTGGCCTCATGCCACTCAGAACAACTCCATTGTCTCCTCCTGAGGCAAGCAAACTTCACTCAATGTTCGATATTCCACAAGACAGTCTTCTCTCACTCGTTTATAGCCTTGTTCTTCCATCACCTCCATATTCGAATCTGCGCTCCTCACGTCCTACCACCTGCCTCACTGTCTTTACATCCCAACCCTTGCATGCTTGCAGTTGTATCCACCTGGTTCCATTAGGGTTCAAAGTTTTTTCAAACGCATTACCTGTTAATTAACAGCGGCACGCATGTGCCATTCAGCCACATGGGCTGGGTCATTGCTTGCAGCTGTACCTCCATCACAATGATGAAAACACATCATTTCCCAGAAAGAAGAGTTCTATTTTTCATAGGCTGAGCTATTTTTAGCATATAGGAACACAGAGAAAAGAGGATTCACAAGCAGGTTCCAACCACCCTGTCCTCTCGGATATTCGGCACACTCTCTACGCCCCCTTGAGTACAGGGGTTAGTGCTACGACGAATTGGCAGCACCCCCAAAATATCCGATCAGTTGGATGGATGGATAAACGGACAAGTGGAGGCAGTACACAACACAAAGACAGCATTGGGGAGTGGCTTTGGGGGATGGTATAGGAAGTTAAAGTAGTTGGAGAGCAAGGCACTGTGTGTGTGCATTTGTGCAAGGGGAATATAGATCGAGAGGTGGACACGTGTGGTTGACTGGATAGGGGAGGAGCACAGAGAAAAGAGGGGCAGGAGAGAGAGAGAGAGAGATGGATAAGAAA